GCTTTACTTCTAAAACAACACCAAACAACAACAAAAAAAGAACTTGGCCTACACTTCATTAGCAAAAATAAAGTAACAGAATACTACCAATAAATACACGCTTACATTTAAGAGCTGCTCAAGACCAAGAAGACCTTTAGGTTGAGAAGATGACAAGAAAAAAAGTAAAGATTAGAAAAACTACTGCTGAGGGGCAAAGGCTCTGGGTTAGCTGAATTGAGCTTATGATGAGTGATCTTCCTTATGCCTGTGGTTACAAGGACCCAACAATGTGTTTAATGGCTGTGCCAGTGTGAAAGGTGACAGCCATGCTTAGGAAGGGCTCTGACCACGGAATGGGGCCTGTGGTGCACACACATGCAACTTGGTAGGGAATGGCCTTGGACACGCCCACAGCAAGAGGAGGAGATGCCCTCTGGGGTGGCCGGGTCAGCTTCTAGTTTCCTTCCTGACAACCCTAAGTAGACAAGGATCATATCACCTGGGCTTCACCTCCAGGGGTGCCAGGCATCGCGCTCAAGTGCACAACAATATGGTGCTGTACGGTTTGGCCACCTTGGCTCTGCCACACCACGCTGAGCACACCATCCACAGATGTCGGGACCATGGCCTGTCGGCTCCCAGGGGCTGTGTCCGCTGCCATCACGACCGTCACCTCAGGTCCTCGTATCAGCGATTCAATCCTCTCTTACAGCGGTGCCTTCCTGCCAAGCTGTGACCCTCTCTTCATTTACAAATGCTGTTTTCCTGAAACCCATGACTATACAGAATGTTTCTGATCTCCAATTCTGTCAAGCTGTTTAGTTCAAAAATCTGAAACATCATAATGTTTTTAAAAGCATAGACTCTTGCATCTCAGAATTTTAGCCATGTTCTTCTTGTCCACCTTCTAAACCCAATTTCCCACGCGTCTTTTCCTTAACTGTTTTAATACTTGAAGTGATTTTTTTTTTGATTGTCAGTTTAACCTCTGGTCTGGATTGCTAAATTGGTTTGGTTTCCAGGTAGATTTTCCTCACAGATCCAAAAATATGTTTCATTTAATCAATGACCTTAATTTTACGATCTGTTAGCTTTTCCTCGTGTTGAGTCATCACATCTCCACTCCCAAGCCCCATTCCCTTTCCTCCAAGACCTCACTGGAACCACAGAGAAGGCCTTCTGTGATCTACTTTAGATCACAGACATACCTGTGTCTCTAGAAAGAAAAAAGATCTCAATGTTTTTATCAAGGTGCAAAACACATGTTTTTCCAGAAGTTCATTTTGATATGTGGGTAAAACAAATTGTTTAAAGCCGCATTCATATCTGCTCTCTTTTAGTGCCACAGATTCGCAGAAAGAAGCCATCCAGACAAAGCACTGTGCAATATTTATCTCCAATTTGGAAAAGGTGTCTGCGTTGGTTTTAGTAGTAACTTCTGTTGAGATAAGGATCTTTAGGTCAATAATGATAGGCTATGACTGGGCAGTCCCTTCTCATTAATTCCCAAAGGACATAGAGCCAGAATCCATGCCAGTACTGACTTCTGGCCATGTATAAAGCACAGAGCTAGGCTTCAGCATGAACAATAAGGGCCTTGTGTTTCTAGCTGTTCATACTCTGATTGCTGAGCATCTGAAATACACCAGAAAGCTAACCAGGAAAGAGAAAATGGTGCGCACAGGAGAAAATGACTGGCGCTTCACAACTCACAGCAAGAGACTCTGGGGGACATGGTCCCTTAATGACCAGAGGGAAGCAGTATTTGGGTGGGAAGAAGGGGCAGAGTGGGGAAAAGCACAGCAGTGCAGGACCCTGAGCAGAACAGGAGAGTTTGCCCAGAAAGGGTTTACCCAGAGAGAGGTGGAGAGATCAATCAGGAAGGCAGGTGAAATAAATGCACAAAACGCTCAACAGGAGTATGTCCCGCACTGCATGAGGCATCATAACACGGAATACTGAATTATGACGTCGTAAGAGCGCACAGCATTTTGTTCCTAAGCAATTCCGTGCACTATTCACAAAGAACATCTTCCTCGTTCATACAGATGTCACCACATAGCCAATACATTAAAGGAGCTTCATGGCGGGGCTGTGATCCCAGTCTACATCTATGGCCCTGGTGTCTGTCGGGAGTTGTCAGAGTCGGAAACAGAAGTAAGGAGGTGGACAAGAGAGTCTCTGAGGTGGTCCAGGCTAGGAAAGAGGAGAACCAACAGGATTCATGGGGCTGCAGCAGGGACAGACGCTCAGCACTCAAAACCTTCCAGATGCCATGCGTTAACTGCAGGCAGAAAAGAACTGCTCTCTGGATCTCCTGGACATTTGAATCTACACTTGACCATGATGATTACCGGTTTCAAGATGCAGAAGAAAGCTCTTTTTCTTGTTCTTTCGTGTGGCTGGAGTATCCCTGCTGTCTTCATCCACCAGCGCTTTGCAAACCAAATCCTACTGTAACCAGCAGTAGGATACCACTGCAGGTCCTGTGAGCTCACGGATTCTAAGAATCAGATGGCTAACTCGGAGGTGGTTCACTAGAGGTTCCTTTCTGTGGTCATGTTTCAGAGTGCTCACAGAACAATTTCACTGCACCGCCTTTGAACATTCTAGTCACTGATGATTTTATTCAAATGGAATAACCCTCACTCTGCGGTAGTTAAATGACCTCCTCCCACATACTGTACACAGCACAATGGCTCTAAAGTGCTTCAAAAATTTTACACAAAAGTCTTTTGAAATTATGCTCAAACTGAAGAACACATCTTTCCTCTGCCTATCAGTTAGTTTATCTTTTTCTCTCAGGAGAATTTCTTCTTCTATGAAAAGGTTCCCAAAATGAAATACTTCTCTCCCTTTCCTCAGAGCCTGTGATCTCTCAGGTGAAAGGACCACATCATCTCAGAGTCGGCCCGCTCTGATATCTGCGTCTTAGTCCCTCCCCGTCACGTCAGAGACACAAGCAGCCATGAACACCAGGCGTGAAGGTGGCAGTGTGCCCAGGGAAGCTGCATTACTCAGCGTCCACAGGCCGAGATGCTCTTAGGGAAGACAATCTCAATTTTCTGCGTTTTTATTGTTTGAGTTTTGTTCAGTTGTCAGAAGACTGCTAAGGGTGGTGCACATTCCTTAGCAACCAATCTCTGACAAGAAAATGGCTTTGGGGGCACACTTTTCTCTATGTTAAACAGAAAAAAATATTTAAATGCCACAGAACATTACAAATCCTGAGCTAACTTACAGTAGGTCACAGGTCAGGCAGATAACCAAGTTAGCCTGGCAATCCTTGGAGGCACCTCAGGGGCCCTTTCCCATCAAGACCAGGGCCTCATCCAGCTCAAAGAACGTGAAAGTGGGTTCATGCACAGTGTCGGCTGCTTATAAAAGTCACAGCCTTGACATTTTTTTTCTCCTTCCTATCAAATACTGACCATTTTTAAATATCCAGATCATATTTTACCTTAAAGCCTTCCCTGACCATTATAGAAAATTCCTTTTTGAACATTACTTCTTATTGGTTCTCTTGAGTTCCATAAAATCACATTAGGTCCCACCTTGTTGGCAGGATGGATGTCTGTGCAGAGAACATGGGTCTCTTCCTCCGCTCTCTTGCCATGAAAAGGGCAGCACCGAGGGCCCTGGGTGGGGCTGAGCTGCTCAGCATTTCCTGTCTGCCAGGCCCTCCTGGCTGAAGGAGAGCTGGTCACAGTCACCATGAGCACCTTGAGGCTGTGTAGCCACAGTGGGCTTCACCTGGCAGGTGTGGCTGTTGAGGAAGGAGAAGGGAAGCTGGGGCCTCGCACTGGGTCTGCAGGGGGCTCAGGGGTGGAGGCAGCAGGACAGGTGGCTGCATGGTTAATGGGTTCCACCCGCTTTGCCTTCTGGGCCAGGACCCCGAGAGCTCTAGAGAACATGGAGGGAGGGACTGGACTGGCTCTGAGTAGGACAGGGTGGATGTCTAGATGGGCATGGGACAGGAGGGGAACAAAGGCAGTCACCTGAGAAAGGCCACGGACACCCTCAGGCACCTGGGTCATCAGGTGATGACACAGCCGCCCCGCACACCTCACAGAGGCGGCAGTGGCCCCAGCCCCGGTGATTTCAGAGGGCTCACAGCTGCCTGGCCTGTTTTACCTCAGGGGCATCGTTCTGTTCAGGGGATTTTCCTCCTTCTTCCCCATGTTCCCCTCTCTCTCCCTCTCTCTCTCTCTCTGAGAGTCACGGTCAGTCTCCTTCCCAGTGTGAGGTCCAGACCAAGCCAGCTGAGCTGGTGCCTTCTCGCACCTCCTCTCTCACCTGGCAACCCAGGCACCAGCCCAAGCTCAGGAGCCACCCCAGGAGAGAAGGCGCCACCTTTCATGCTCCTCCCCATCACCCTGAGGGTCAGTAATACACATTGCTTGTTCCTACTTCCTTCACTTCCGGTTTCAGAAACCGTCCAGCACACTGGCCTGGAGGCCTGAGTGAGCGGCTGCAGGCAGTGGATCTCAGGGTGTTGCTGATGCCCAGGAGGGAAGACGAGGCTGACTGTGGTGCTCAGCTCAAAGAACGAGCATGTTGTACCTGGCACCGAGGCTGACTCACGGCAGAAGATACCAATAAACACAACCTGAACATGAACTGCAAGTTACAACTTCTGCTACTGCTTTCTTGGTACATGCACAGGCACACCGCTCTTAGTGAGAACCACAAGCTTTTTAAGGAACATGATTTCGAATTACCTTTATTTAGGTATTGCTTTCTCCAAATTCTGTGTCTAGTTCTCAGTGCTGGTCAGCCCTGACTCACAGAGAAAAGTCCTGGCAAACATTTAGAAGGCACCACTGCCAGGACCCACCTCTGCCCACCACCTGCACCCAGGCCTCTGAGTGCAGGCTCGGAACTGGCATCAAACAATAACTGGAAAGGGAAAGGACAAAGGAACGGCTGAAAGTGCTAAACTCCAGGCCCAAACAAGACAGCTTGAGAATCACCGCACATATTACATGAGACTGCAAGAAGGATTTAAACTGACTTACCTTTGTTATTGTATACATCTAAGTAATTTGGTGCTGAAAAAATTGTAATCAGAGAAGGGAAGCCTGTTGTTTGGCTTTTCCTGTACATGCGATACCTGAAAACAAAAAACACAAGGTTAATCCAAGGCCGTCTGGAACAGAAGACTACACCAAATTATATACTTGGAAATAGCAAATTAAATGAGTTAAGGTGTATCTTCCACAGAAGTCTCAATTACATAACACTAAGTAAAACTTCCTCTGCAAAGCCTGATATTCACAGCTCCCATTTTCAGGAGGGAAAACAGACTCACACTGCAATCTACAGAGAGGTAGTCTCTAAATTTACCAAACCTCCAGGGAGGAGGAATTCAGTGAAAAATCCTAATTCATTTCCACAAGAAAGACAGCAAAGGTGATGGCTGCACACCAATACCCCGTAGACACCACCATGTCTATGATATGCCAGTATTTTTGACATAAAATGTCCAACAAGTAGAGCAATATCCAACGACTTACCCCTGATGGCCAGGCCACTTGCTCTAGAAAGGTGCAGTATTCTATAAAGTTTTGATATAAGCATTTTGCCGAGATGGATTTTCTTTTCAAACAATGCCTCCTTCCATCTATGGGTTTTACTAATTGAGCCTGTTTCTATTTTACAATTCTATTTATTACAATCCTCGCTGGTGTGTGCAGGTCCAAGATTGTGTTTCAGGAAGGTAATATTTAATCAGGAATAAAACAGATCACCCACAAGATCTATGGAGAGGAACCAGCAACCCTACTTATCTTCTACTAACACAAAAATAATGCATCACACTTTCGTTTTCAATAATCCAAAAGCGCAAGGGACTCCGGCTTTCTTGCCCCTCAGGATGAAAACGGGGCTCCCAACTCATGTGCGGTAGATGGAGGAACACGGCCCTGACATGTGGTGTGCAGACCGGTCTTGCATGGCCGGGTCTGAAGTTCGCTCCCATAGTACCTTCAGATGGGCCAACAGCTACTTTAAAATGAATAATGTTAAGAAGATTTTGGTCCTTCTCTTTTGGAACTACTGAAACAACTCTACTTTTCCTAGAAGAAAACAACCTGTTAAGAACTCGAGAACCATCCCTGGGTGTTCTGTGGATGCTGTGCTTTGTTGGGACGGTGAGTCAGAGTGAGAGATACAACAGTCTGAAGCCAGGGTCCGTACTTTATGCACCGAAGCTGGCTGTGCCTATTTGTTTACAAATACAGCAAAAACTGAGTGGCAGAGTCCCGCTTCTCCCTGAGAACCAATCATCTGTTCACCTTAAACAAAAATACTTGTTGATAGACTGATGCACCCAACATACCTTCCAGTAAGCAAATGATTTCAGGTATGCTGGTGAGTGAGAAAAACGCGTCCCAAGTGGGCACCCAGCTAAAGACAGTGACAGCTCATCCCCAGGAGTGGAGACAGGGGTCTGAGGACCTCTGGCTGGGCACAGCGACCACAGTGACTGCACAAAGGCCAGCTTTGGAAGGAGCTCGGCTTCTTCCTCACAGGGGCATCCTACACAATGCCCTCCTCTGGAGCACAGGCATCTACCCTAGCAATGTCAGTGCTCAAGTGATAAAAGGAAGTGCTCCTCTTCAGGAACTGCAAATATACAGGGATGGTCTCAGTCCCTCAGAGGCCAGCAATGCCCTCGGTGGGAAGAGTGGGAACGGGCATCAGACCTTACACCTTTGACCTGATCACGTGGAGGTCTCCCTCCAAGAGACAGAATCAGTCATTAAAGCGAGTATTAGATACTTCTTAGTATTTGTGTAACTCTTAATACTGGCCTATGCTTTCAAATTTTACCAGAGAACACAAAATCAACTTTACATAATGCTTTGTTCTTTAAAACCGTGTGGGGACCAGGAATGGCATACAAGGAGTCACACACAAGGTATATATGTATCTGCCCCAAACCGAGCCTGAAAAGTAGCTGGGAATCTGTTTGCCTAGGGAGAGTGTGAGTATGAAGATGGAGCGAGGTAAGGAGAGGCCTTACAGCCTGCGGGAAGACAGCTCCAGGGACTGGCAAGAACCCAACGGGGTCTTGATGGCCACCTGTAGCCGCTCACCCCTGCCTCGGCCACTCTTGGAAGGTCCAAAGCTGAGAACTATTCCTTCTTTCTGGGAGTGGCCGGGCTAGGGGGCCATTCCCACAAGGGCATGGTGAAGAGGTCAGGGAACCACACATGCACGTTCACCAACCCGCAGCCCTGCTCACCCTGCATCCTGGGCTTCGTGGGCTCGGAGAATGGATAACAAGTTATTGTGCTGCAAGAATTCACAGACAGCTGGGTAACTGTGAGAGACAGAAGGAGAGAGTGGTGTCAGTTAGGAAGTCATCGGGGGGGCACACGAATGCCCGGCACCTGGATCAGTCCGAACCAGGCACACACGTCACTCACAACACAGCCCCTGGTTCTGAGCACAGGCGATCCCAGTGCAGAGAGGACCCACACTGCGGTCTGTGTGCATGGACTGCAAGAAAGCACACACCACACAACACCAAGAAGGTTCACTCGGAGAAAATGAACTGGATGGTTCCATTTAAACAGAGGAAACAGAAGCATCCATAGATCTGGAGCACAGAACTGAAAACAGACACTCCACTTTCCCAGGGCCTTGATCTGTGCTATCTGTGCACAGCCCCGCCAGGAAGGGGCAGAGGAAGCACTGGGTAACCAGCTCCCCAGCCCCCTGACATTAGGGGCAGCACCCAGCAGGCCAGGTGCAACCCCTCCCAATGGGGAGACTCACAGGGGTTTGCGACTGCACTTCAAATAGAGCCAAGAGGACTTTCTCTTACTTATCTTGACTTAGAAAAATCCTCAACATGCTGTCCTGTTTTAAGAAAGTTTCAACTTGAGGGACTATTATAGGTGGGAAACATGTATAAATTATAAAATAGCTCTTAGGGGAAATATTTACCTGGTAAATGTCACTAAAGTAATTATTATAAAAGGGAAGATGAACATAATTTCTATACTATATATTTGTTCAGATTCCCTGATCAACAGACAAACATTCCACAAAAATAGCATCTTGTTATATAGATTTATTTTTGCTTTTATTTTTGTGATACTGGGATTGAACTTGAGGCCTTTGTACTGAGCTACATCTCCAGGCATTTTTTTTCTTTATTTTTGAGATGGAGTCCCACATTACATTGCTAAATTGCCCAAACTGGGCCTGAACTTGCAGTCCTCCTGCCTCAACCTCCTAGAATGCTGGGATTAAATTATAGAGATATTTATTGTGAGAATTTTTTTTTTTTGGCAAAAATGGGATCACAATTCAAAAACAGTTTCTGTGTGCATGAGTGCGCGCACACGTACGTGTGTGTGTGTGTGTGTGTGTGTGTGTGTGTGTGTGTGTGTGTGTCATTCTGGGTGGGGGGAGAGGACCTGGAACCCAGGGCTGGGCTTGGACAGGGTGGCCTCAAAGCCTCTGCTCTTCATCAAGGAAGGCGAGGGTGTGTTCTCCCCACACCAGTGCGTCAGGAACAGAGCAATGGCTGGTGTCCGTTCAGCTGTACAGTGCGAGCGCAAGGGGCTCCCAGGAAGTGGCTTCCCCGTCTCTGGGCCTTGTCCTCACAGCCCTTGGCCTGCACTTCTGCTGACTGACACTGGAGGTCTCCTTCCCGTGGGCAGACAGTGACCACCTCGCTCTGTCACCTCCCTGGGGCAAGCGGCTGAGCTGAGCTGCACCTTTCTTTCTGGAACGATTTACCGACTCTCAGGGAAATATATTTTTAAAATATTTTATTCACACTAAGTCGGATACTTTCAGGCGTTTAGGTTAAGCTTCTCCCCATGGGAATACATATCGAACTTCAGTAAAAATCTGAAGAAAAATAAAATTCACAAAGCGGCAGTTTGCGTAACAGCATTACATGAAGAACTTTATTATTTACATGAAAAGATTGAATTTTGAAGAAAAACTTTAGAACTTTAAAATATACATAGTGAAATACTCAAGCTTTTGAAAAATTTCCTAAATAAATTGGAAAAATACTTGAGTATAACCTAGAATTCCATTGCTGGTGCACTCCCTGCCTGGAATACATTAAAGCATTAAATAGTAATAGAAAACAAGCCAAATTTTCTGTAATACCTTCATGATTTAGTGGAAATGATCAAAACCCACAAAATGTTCAACACACACATACTTTTGCACACATAAAATGAGGGAAAAGCAGAGTTTGCAACACTTTACGCCACAGAAAGAGCTGGAAAGTCACTTATTTCCCAATAATTATGATATTCTTCCCGTCAGAGGCTGCAGTGGCTCCGGGAGAGGTCTGCTAAGGGGTGGGCATGATTTCGGATCTGAGGGTAGCTGTAATCCAGGTAGGAGCACAGAACACTAGACAAATAATTTTTTAAAACTACTAAAGAATAAAAGACACCAATGATAAATTAGCACTAGTTCTGTAACACCATTAGGAAGCAAGAAAGACAGAACTTGCTGTAATTAAATAGAGGACTCTTTTTGAAAAATCTCTCTCATGTGTCAGATCTTCCAGGAATCATGTGGATCAGGGGACAGGAAGGGGGCTAGAGTCCTGTCCAGAGATAGGACGGGTAGGTGGAAAACAAGCTGACCCGGAGCAAAAACAGAGAAGGCAGAAAAGACAAAAGTGGGAGGCTGGGTGGAGAGACTGGACTGGCCCTAGGGCAAGCAGGTGCTACGGAATCATTCTGTTTTGTTTTACAGCACATGTCACCGTATTTTAGACTCCAGAAACAGACTCATTAGTTTGGTGTCCAGATATTTTAAAACATAGAAGCAAAGCTATAAACTTTTTCAGAAACAAGTTTAGAGCAAACCTCCCTACTAATACGCACAGCAAAACAAAAAAAAAAAAAAAAAAAAAAAAAAAAAAAAAAAATCTTTGAATGATGCTTTACAAGTTTAAGATTTTTCTATTCCCAAAGTAATTTCTCTATCATACCAACTAACGAATAAAAGAAACCTTTTGCCCTCTCGATGAAAGTGTAACGTAGAGAACGAAGTGTTCTTCCACACAACCCAAATCTGATCAGAGCCACACAGAGGAGGTTAACAGTGATTTCAGAGGGCTTCTGTAGCCACGCCATTAAGCTTAGTTGCTGATGCTGGGCTTAAGCACTGACTCATGGAACACTGGGTTTGGTTTTTCAGTTAAAAAAAAAAAAAAGAAGGAAAAGGAGTATGTAGTATGAGAATTTTAAGATTCTTAACTTCCTTGTCGATGACCTCCGTCTAGGAATTTTCCCGGAGTTGCTGTCTGTTGACGGACTGAAGGGGAAAGGAGGAGGATCAGACACAGGCTAAACCGGAGGTGACCAGGAAGACGCAGGGACACGTCTGTGCACATGTGTGGGGCCCTCTGAAGGGGTCAGAGTGTCACAAAACGGTAATCACCGTAAAGCAGTTCTCCTTAGCTCATCAAGGTGCTGAAGATAAATCTACCAGGGTGTCCATGTACTGCAGACCCGCAGGGGTCTATGTATCCAGGAAGCCTGGCAAGCTCAAAAAATATGAGAAGGACTTGAATGCACTGTAATTAACCAACGTGAAGCTGTTTTTCTGACTTAAATTATGAGAACTGGTACAAATATGTTTCCATAACTGAATGAAAAACCAAGGCTGGTGATGGATGTTTTTCCTATAGTTCTTGAAAGGAGAACAAATTGTCTACTATACCCTTACATCTACAGAAGCCTCTCCACCCTCATACCACACGAATTTTCCTGCCTTTTCTATTCTCAGAAATTACATGTACATACATTTTACATCAATTCATTTATTCATATTTTGCAAGTGAAGAAGCCATTGTAACCAAACTTTTCAAATGAGCCTCTCCTTCACCGCTGCGTCCTACAGAAGCTGCGAAACATCCTCACTCGGCCAGGCCCCGGCAGGAATCGCAGCGTCCGGGCCATGTGGTCCTCACCTGTAGAAGTACGAACACCCCCGGACTGTGTTGTGCGTGAAATGTTCCTGAGTCTTCTCGTTCCCGAAGTCCTCCAACGGGTCTGACCACAGGATGTCACACATGGGTCCATAAGCAGGTGGTTCTTTGAATCGGTCTAACTAAGAAAAAGAGAGGACGAAGAGCAAAATACTAATCTTTGGAAACAGAATCAGGAGACAGCAGATGCCAGTGCCACCACCCTCTCCTGGGCTGCTCGTCTCTTCCTTCCTCCTGACACCCAGCAGCTTCATCTCCAAATTTCTCCATTTCCTGTCTTCCTGCTGTCCCGAAGCTCTCATCCATTGCATCTTCATCTCTCCCTTCACATCCCTCTTCTTCAGTTCTTCTGAGTCCTCCTTTTAGCCTTTCTCTCATTCTCCTTTAATTCTTCTCACCTACATATCTCTGTATCTATCAGTACCTGTCATCTATATCATCCAGCAATCTATCAACTATCTACCAATTATCTATCAGCTATCTGTGTATCAGTCACATAGCTATGTACCAATTATCTATCTATCTATCTATCTATCTATCTATCTATCTATCTATCTATCTGTTAATGTGATTCTGCTTCTGTTTCATTTGGGAAGGAGGAGCTTTAACCCCTCTACTGCCTCCCCTCTACTGTTATTTAGAAGCCTGGATGCAGAAGGCCTTATGATATTTATATTTCACAAAAGGATTTTGAGAACAGTGCATTCTAGAAGCTCATACACTCTACAGTAAAAATTAACAAATACAAAATTAAATTAAGTAAATTATGTAGAAACTCTAATTGACATATGGCAAAATGTAAATTTGAAATCATTTTATGGCCAAGTGTGGAGTTTAATTATATATCTCAGTATCTAAAATATGCAGGAAAGTAAAATCTGAAGCTAGAAAATATTTTTTTAAATCTACTTAATACCCCATGAGATGTGTAGATAGTGATTTCATCAGATTGCAGGAGAATGGCTTGTTTAAATTCCTGTAGAAAAGAGTTTTCCCTCCCTGCTCTCCAAGACTGGAACACCCAAATCCTCTCTATATAGTGATTAAAAAATGCAGAGCAAGACCAGTGCCAGAAGCACATGTGCACTGATGTCTTATAAATATGGATACACCCAGACCAGGGAACAAAGATTTAGTTAAGTATTATTTTTTTAATTTTTAAAATAAAAACCTTTTTTTTCCTATCTAACAGGAAAGTAAATAATTATTTTCCCCTTTATTTGAACCTTTATGAAGAGGTCTTAAAGGAAGAACAACTTAGAGTGTTTTGCCTTCCCAAATATAATTTTTCTCTAAAACCCAATAACCTTTTAAAAGAATACCCAGTTCACTGTTGTAGAGATTTATGATGTATAAATATATTCAAAATTTCATGTTATTTCCTCAACATTATGAATTCCATGAAGAAATGCAGCAAATGAAATCATATAAAGGTGATCATTCATTTTGCAGAGGTTTATAGGTATTTCTGCTGATAATCGCATCTTTAATAAAATACCCCAATAGATATATCTTTTCTACCTATTTTCTTCATTTTACACAACAGCTCCATTTAAATACTTAAAGGACTATATTGCATGAACTTTAATTCTCACAATTAGGAGGACACTTAAGTTTCTTGCTTTCCATCCCATCCCACAAAACCTGGTCATTGGCAGCCATTAAAACATAAATATCTTGACGCCTGACATTCCTAACAGAACAACTACACTGGACTTTGACCTATTTCATTTTCCATACCTACTGCGGTAACTGGTTATTGGGTTACCAATAGAATACAAAGATACATGGCTATTTGATTTCTTTCTCACTAAACACAGTGGAAAAATGCTATCTACTAATTTAATATTAACTTAAGGCAGCTGATGGAATTAACTTGTAATGCTGATCAGCATATAGATTTCCCAGATTCTGAAGTTTCCAAACTCAAGAATGGAAAAAGCCACTAAATGACAATTATTTAAACAAGCAACAGCAAGGTGGTTTTTGGACAAGGCTTCCTAAGGCCCAAGCACCGGTTAGAGCCTGGGTTGTGCCCACACCCTATGCCTGTGGTGACCAGGTCATCCTATTCGTAACACAGGAGGCTCATATGAATAAACTTGAAATCTTCATGAAGAAATCAGCAACTCTCAATTTCAATAAGAAGTTCACGTATAGTAATTTAGACTAATGCGACCAAGTGATTCCTTCTGAAATTATTGGTGAGACTAACTTTTTAAAAAGTAGAGGGGCTGGGTATTTAGCTCAGTGACACCACGCCTGTTTTGCAAGTGCAAGGTCCTGAGTCCAATCCCTGGCACCAATAAATAAATAAAAAAATAAGAAGTAGAAATATTGCTACATTTTTTTTCTTAGAACTAGGGGATACATACAGGAATATTTTCTTAGGCTTTTGAAGGTGGAGGAAAGAAGGTACTACAATAAAATGTATTCTAATATTCATAATGCTTGCAGAAAAAATTCTGCTTAAACAGAAAGCAAGATGGTGAGCATAACCCTCCAACCACATTATACATGTTAATATAAACAAATTATGAGGTCTTAAAATAATTCCAAATAACACTATGTGAAGATAACATACATTTTTTTTTTCATTGCTTTTGCTCTTTGGGGATTTTGCCACCAAGAAAAATATGCAGAGTTTATTATTCTCATTTTTCTTACATGGCTGCAATTATCAGTTACAAGCATAAGCAAAGAAATGATAGTCTCTTCTACAAGATACTCTATATTGTATTTTTTCATGAAAAGTACAAGGTACCTTTACATTCAAACTAGATTCGTTCTACTGGCTGGAATGAGAGTAACAGCCAACACTAACCCCCTTAAGAAGTCCATTGTTTTTCACCTAGTTAGTCAACAGGACCAGCACACCATCACATTTGCTCTGTTAGTCTACTAACATTAGTCTGTACACATTCTAGGCTGTAATGAATGGTAGGTTTTAAACCTAAGTAATATGGACAAATTTCAAGGGTGAAATTATGGTATTTTCCGAGAGGCAGAGCAACAACCATGAACACAATGGGTTGTTTGCGGGGGAAGAGCCAAATGGAAATGAAAGGATATATGGCTTTAGAGGTTGAGCAGTTTATGTTTTTAGTGATGCCCATCACAATGGAAGATGGGCCAGGAGCCTTAGGGATGAAAACTCCTCCGGGGTAAATATGTTTTCCTTTCTAAGAGGAAAAACACAGAGAAAAGATTCACGGCTACGTCATATCATGAATTCCGACAGGCTGCGTACTAGACTAACGCAGCACGGCCGGCTGAGGCCTCTGTCACCACCGCCACACACTTACTTTCCTGATGTCGTCCAGCGTGTTGATCTCTGGGGACAGCCCTCCGTGGACGCACAGGAACTGCTGGTTCATCAGGGCAGCCAGGGGCAGGCAGTCGAAGGCGTCCATGCAGGCATCATAGACCCGCTCCGAGTACTTTATTTTACCTGTTCGTGTATGATCGAAACGGACGTGAACTCATATAATGTCATGACTACAGTCCAACCACTGCACTGAGAGTGGCTTCTTTTCTGAAACAGCGTGATTACTTTGTGACATTTTTCATGCCAGGATGATATCAGGAGTATGAAAGGAATGCGTTTTGCAAACTTCAAGACCCAATCAAATACTACTTTTTAAGATTTACATGTTGACCTTTACTCTACTTAGCATTTTTCTATTTTTGTCATTCATCCATATTTTGTAATTTTTATAACCTTGGTATAGCAAAAAAGACATCTGGCCATAAGGCTGGTTGATTTTCTCAATGACTTGGTAGAAAAGCAGATGGACAGAAATTTGCCAGCATCACACCGCTTTTCCCTGACCGATTCACGCTGACTATTCTGAGAGGCAAAATGACAGAAAAATCTAAGTTTCAGTGGACAGTGGGAAAAACTGAGAAGGAAATGAATCCTTCACAAGGTGCCCCACTTAAAGTTCACATGTAATGGCAGAAATCAAAACACACCAGAGAGCAGAGGCTGTGGGGTCCAGAAATAGAGGCACTGGGTTCACACTGACCTCCATGTGCTTCTCTTGAGCGATGTGGGATCCAAGAGTAGGACTGCTTTCTTGCATGTTATTATTTTATTACCCAGAATCATCATTATATACATTGTACTGAATGTTGACTAGTTTTAAAAGGTAATTTAATCACTTGTATCTTACAGTATAAATTACATCAAATATTAACTTAATCTCTTACATTATTTTATACAGAACTTATTTTTAAAAACTGACCTATAACTATTCATGCTTTTAAAAACAATAGGGCATGACACAAAGTACTGTCAGCTTAGAAGCTTTTACTTTCAGGCAACGGATCATTCACACTCTCAGCCATCAGTGAGCCTGGCTAGGCAGTACATACAGCACCAAAGGAAGAAGACTGGCGAATACTTACATTCTTGCTTAAACGTGAAATACTCTGTTAGATGTCTACATTCATGATTTCCACGAAGTAAAAACAGTGTTTTGGGGTAAAGAATTTTCAAGGCCCACAAATACAGCACACACTGAAAAAAGTAAAAAGAAGAACAACATAAAAATAACATTTTTTTTTTCCATTATACTTGTGAATTCCAGTGCTTTCATGTCACGAAGATGAGTCAAACGTGTTACCATAACCAAAATCCCCGGCCAGGCCTGGGGAGATGCTTACAGTCTGGGCAAACAGTGCTTTGTACAAGCCGCACCACCACTCACTCCAAAGACATCCAGCAGGAATGATCAGAGCCCACAGGTGGGCCGCTGGCCACACAGTGACAGGAGGCAAACACAGAACGAGAACCAACCCTGCCAGAAATATCCTCTGAAACAGGCAGCAAAGAGATGGGTCGCAGTCAGTAGGTTCTAAAAGCTGGGTGACAGAGCCAGCAGGACGGGCCAGGAAGAGAGGTAAGCACTGAAAAGCCTGAACCGCCCCCCGCTTTCTGTTTCTTTTTCCTTCTCAGACCCCCTGGCCTTCTCCCCACTTTTCTTTCAGTGTCTTTGGAATGTAAAGCCTTAAATTTTTGTTTTATATGTAAATAAGTGATCAATTAAATGGAAGGCCAGAGATGAGGACAGGGAATGTATCTCAGTATCTTAAATCCCTCAGTGTCCCAGGCACTGCGCGTTGTGTGACTCTGCATGCATGTGTGACTCAGCATAAACCTACAGGGTCTCCACAGTCCCAGCACCAACTTCCCTGCCCTCCACTGGTATCTGGCAAGAAGCCACAGGCTACCCCAAATCATACTTTAGAAAACAAATACTGTAATTTTCATGAAAGTTTTGCTCTGAAAGTAAAGCTAAGAAGGTGAAGAATCCATACAAATACAGAGAAAAGTCACATTCTGGCTACCAAAATCTGAAACCAAAACATACATAATATTTTACAGATCAATTCCCCAATGCATACTGGGGACGCTGGATGATATCTTCAGGGAGAAGATGCCAGCAGTTTATTTGTCATGCTACCTGGAAAGGACAGTCGTCTCTGCGAGCCTCTATGGTAATTCATGAACCGAATGGAGAGTAACTGTTCGAATATACAGCCCAAGTTCTGAAGAAAATGCTAATTATCAAAACAAGCGTGTATCGCCGTACTGTTCAACAAGATATTCTCTCCAATTACGAAGTGAGGTTTGAAGGGAACAGTGACAGGATGACATTAAATACGTGTGGTACTTTGATCAACTTCCTGTGATTACGTTGTGATTAGGGTACTCAGTGGAACTGGAGTGGCGAGGGGACAGTGGCACGTGGCCTGCAGGGGTCCCCGGAGGGCCGTGGGTGCAGGCTGCCACGGGAGCGAGTTTAGTGTCTGAGCGGCCCGGGCTGTGGATGCGGTTTACAGCCGCAGGTGCCTATTGTCATAAAAGGCACCGAATCACCCAGAGCTGCCTCACATCTCAGAAGAGGTCTTTATAAACTATCATTAATGCCAATGAGAGGACTGCACTCAATTTAAAATGTAGAAGGCTCTCCCTGAATCTGATATTATGTGTGTGAGAAATTACACATATTATATACAAACATATATAAATGTCTAATGCCTAACGCGGAACAGGAGTGGTATGTAGAGCTCTTCACATATATTTATGTCTTGAAGTTACTCTATGTAGTGTGTTTTATTTACATATCGAGAAAGAGAGAGAAAAATGCCATGGCTGCACTGTGGGTCCACCTCACGGGTGTCTGGCTTACGACACCCAAGGTCAGCAGAGCAGGTCACGATGCAACCACAGCTCTTCTGAAACTGCCTCCTGCACCATCACAACCCAGCTCCCGAAGGCTCCCTTCTGTCTCCTCTCAGCCAACAACTTTTTGAAAATGTCATCACAGCTCTCATCTCCTTTTGGTTATTTTTTTCTGTACAAGTTTACTGCAAAGTTACTACTGGTCCACTTAAAAACTCTGGTGCATTTAAACAACCCCATTCAAACACGGAAGGAATCACACCCTCGGGCCTTGGGCCCATGTTTTCCTTTTGTCATCTGTTACGATGTCTCGAAGTCTCGCTGTGACAATAGTGTGTGGTTCTGTAACTTCAATCACCTCGCATCTTAACTGTCGTGGCTCTTTCGTTACGGAAATCTCAAAGAGGGGTACACACGTTCCATGCTGATCTCCTTAGCGCCTCTACTAACAACCCCTGAATGACACGATACAGACATTCCTCTTATTTCGGACGTGAAATGCCTAGCAAATGGCAGGAGTTGAGGAAATATTAACTCCATCTCTGTAAATAGGAAGGACAGAAGGAGGAAAAGGAAGGAGGAAAGGGAACTGGGAGAAAGGGAGGGAAAGAGAAAGGAGGTAGAAAAGGAGAATTAACTCATTTCCAAATTCTTGGCTCCGAATGCTGTAAAAATAAAGAGTCCTCTTTTCGCATTTTATTTCTCTCTCCCTGTGGCAAGAATAAAATATCTTCCCAAACACTAGGATAACCGCAAATGCAGCTGATACGGAAGAGGGGGCGTGGGAAGGAGGGGGCCGGGGAGGAAGAACTGCCAGCCCTCACCCCAACATCTGGCAGGAGGCAGCTCCACGCTCCATGCAGGATTCGCTGGCAAAGGCTCTGCCATCCACACTTTCAGTGTGCGGCAGAACCGCAGAAATTCAACCAAATTATAACCTGGCCTTAGCTTTGGTTTGTTAGTTTTTAAGTAGAGTTTCTTGCAGAAAAATCCCATCAGTGACACAGAGACGTGAAACGCGCTAAACACTCAGTTATTCTGCGCATGTGGCAAACTTCATGTATGCTCAGATGAACCCCCTTCCCTGCAGTAACTGGCAGGGGCGGGGACAGCTCTGGCCTTTCTGTGGGGGAGCCATGAGTCCAGATCGCCTGGTCACCTCCGCTAGATGACAACCGTCCTCCGTTCTTGCTCTTCATTGAGCTTTGGGTCACCCAGACGAAACAATGAACATTCTCTTTTTGTTAATTTTCATCATGGACAAGGGTTTTTCCCATTTGTGTATCTTCCTCAAGAAAGCAGTGCTCAGGATGCTATTTTCATTAGTTTAATTGGCTCCTCGAGAGTGACAGTGCACTGGTTTACTTCGTGACTTACAATTTTTGATGGTGAGTATTCTTGAATAGCTGCACAGGAAAGTAGAGGAGAAGTGAAGCAGAAAGCAAAGAAGTAAAAAAGAAAACACACCGACCAACACCCTGAACTGATGTGCTGTCCACGCTGTGAGAAGCTCAAATCAAAGCGCTTTCTCTCCCTCACTGGACAATCACACAGGATGTGTGTGATCATCTGGGAAGAGGTACAAGCATCTCAAACGCCAATGGCCTGGTCTGACAAGGGCCCAGAGAGGCAGCCATGAGAAAGCAACGCAGTGCAAAGACGACAGGCTGCAAGGAGACACAGACGGTTCTTCCTGCGTCCACGGTGCTGTTCTGTCATCTCACTTTGCTTTCTGCACAATGGGTTATTACTGTGGGGCAAAAGCAAGGAGCGCTGTCTGGCTGGCCTCCATTCATTCTGGTCTCTGAGTTCACAGCTACTAAACGCTACAACTTTCACACCTGAAAGTGCTGGAGGCCGGTCGCCCTGCAGATGTAAACAGAGCAGGATGGAGGGGCAGTTCCATGCTGATTCCCTTAGCTCAGAGCCCTGCAGAAGGGCTGCAGGGAGCTCTGTGCAGGAAGTAGAGGCACCAGCTGTGCATCTGTGTGCAAGTCTGAGTCACCCTCAGGCCCAGTCACAACCATGTGCTGGATCAGAGAGAGCCGTGGTGTAATGCAATCATCAGCGAGGGGGCTTCAGGGTAAGACAAATTATTACCCCAACCCAAGCACCACGTTCATCACTGCTCAACAGCTCCCTTGTAGCTGGGCTAACTTTCTGAGAAATGCTTTCTAATCCTGGCAAATAGAGAAAACTGGGGAGGCTGCAGGACGAGTGCACAAAATGAGCTCTGCGTATTGCCCAGGGCAGGTTCCCCAGAGTTGGCGAATCTGCCTGAGAGAGGATTAGGAAGCCAGACTACTTTTCAGAGCTGATTTGGTGAAAATTAAACTGAAGTGCTACACTCTGCCCAGAGGACAGCCAAAGGAGAAGCCTTACAGGGAAGCCCTGGATTATGGGGATGAGTCAGCAGCCTTGTGAAACCTGTGAGGGCAACACTGCTGGAGAACTCAGCTCGACTTCAGGGTGTTCCTTAGACCAACGATCCATGCAAAGGGAACACTCTGTGCTGCATGCCGACAGTCAGATTTCTAGGTGGGGAGAGAACGGAGCAGACATGTGGCACAGGCCAGCGCCCATGTCACCCATGTCCGCTTTTTCATGGTGCACTGTAATGTATCGAGGGAACACGCCACGGCCAGCTGGTGGGCGGTGCACAGAGCTCAGGCAGAAGCCCAGGCACTGACTCACTACGTGTGTGTCCTGCCCAGGGCTCTGCCTGGGCACCCACAGAAGGGAGTCTCACATGTTCCTCCCACCGCTGGGGGCACAGAGGCAGTCATTGACACCACACAAACAGCAGTATCGACAGTACATCCTCGATCCACGTATTCTCGGTGAGTATATTTTGTGTGTGTGGCTGTTCCCCTTCAGTGTGATGACGACACCACTGAGCTATTCTAATTCTAAAGCCCCACAAAGGTCACAGTCCAATCAACACGGGTCGCCCTGCGTACAAGACAACTGCCGTGTGTCCCTAGCAAGTTCCCGGGCTGATCCTTCAGACTCCCCGAGCTTAGCTCAAGAGCTGATGTGAGATCGGAGATGCCAGGGTACCCACCTCAGAACTGTCATACGTTCTACTACACCCACATTTGATGGATCTGCTGCTTGAATTTCAAAAGGAGCACACTATACAAAGTGCTGTCTTTCTTACTTTAAATATCTAAAATAACTGTAGATTTAAAAACATCTTAGGAGTCAAAGTAATTGAAGAACAGGCTCGTGAATATAGCTTTTCAATTTTTTTAACTTAAAAAATAGAAAATTCATTAAAACTCAGCTTAGGAAAAGTTTAGGGAATTTCCAAAGGTTTGAGGTCAGAGGATCAGAAGACTGCAATCTTCAATTTAAAAAATCAAAGTAAAGATACCAATGAAATTAAGAAATGAAACAATCCAAACAGAGCTGGGGCAAGACAGAGTTGGTGAGAAATAGTTCAGCTGTGCTGTCATTAAAGCAACGCACGGAACAGTGCTTTTTCTTTACTACAAACTTAATAGTAAACATTATCTCTAGTTAAAAATGTAAACTAAGTTGGCAAAAGCCACAGGTCTTATGATACTGAAAATAATTTCTAATATAGCACTACATCATTTGCTGATAAAAACAATCCCTCCCCTAAGGACACACTCGAGGCTCCCTCACTTAGGTGAACTTCAAAGAGCACAGAACACCTCTTCCGTTCACACCTTTCTCAGAAGCACCGTGAGTGTCAAATGAACGAGATGGATCCAAGTTACTGAGTCGGTTTTTCACTGCTATTGACTTAAGACTCTACGTGGCCCCTTTCAAGGGGAAGAGCAAGCCCTTCACTCCCTCCTTGCAATTCCACCTCCCGTCTCAGTCTCAAGCCTGGCTGCACACTGGTCGCCCAAGGCCATTGGTACTCAGGGACTTGGGGTTGGCGAGTTGGAGAGCATGCGTGTCTGGAAAGCATCTTTGAGCAGGAGCGCGCACCCCTCTCTTTCCAATACCCTTCTTTCTGATTGTAGCGGGGAATTGGGGGCTGACTGCACTGTAGCCACCTTAGGTCATGATGGGCTTGGAAAGGGGGCCGGAACCTCAGAGACACAGGCAGAGGTGCCTGGTGCAGGCTGCATGGGTGACGCGGGTCTGATCACTCCCTGCAGGTATCCACGTCTCACTAAGTGCGTGCTCAGAGCCTTCTATGCCAGGGGAGCTGGCCAAGTCGGCCCTCCATGGTGAATGGATCTGGGTTTCACAGGGTCCTCCTCTGTGTCCCCTCCCGCTACACCTTATGGAGTCTTTGAGTCGCTTTAGTAGTCGACCATGCTTACTTCCAATGCCTCCTACTCTTCTTTACTCCCACAGCACTGATGTCCGTATTCCTGCATCACAAGGTTTTAGTAGTCCCTTCCAGTGACTGAACGCGGGGTAACCACATAGTCTAGCTCCCGGATTCTCAGAGTTTTATGGTGTACTGTCCTATAAATTGAGGTTTCCAGAAAACCAAGATGTACATGACATTTCCTCTAATATTTCATAGTCCCAATCATGCTGGATATACACTTTAGGCTTTCGATAACATCTGCTTTCCAAATGAAGGAAATATAAAATGTCTCGGTGTGAGCATCGAAATCTACCTACCTATCTATATATATCTTATATATACATATAACTCTATATATTCATATCTATCTATATAGAGAGAAAGAGAAATACAGAAAGTCAGACAATGACTTGGGAAACTGAGTCATCAAACATGGGTATGATTTCAAAGCAGTTTGAAATAAAAGCTGCTGAAGGACAACTTGCGTTTAAACAGTAACCACCCTCATTAACAAATCATACATAATAAATATTTAAAAGTAAGAATCTTCTTACTAAAATGATTGTAAATATGTGGAGTGATGTTTGTGTGAGACTTACAAAGCTGATTTGTTTCTTTGAGGATAAGTGTTTTTCTCTTTTCTTTATGCTTTTATTTTTGGCAATACTGGGGATTGAACCTTTGCACTGAGCTACATCCTCAGCCCTTTTATTTTATTTTTATTTTGAGATCAGGTCTCACAAAGCCATCGTGTAGCCCAGGCCGGATTCCCTCCCGGCTGCACACCCCCAGAGCCAGGATTCCAGGAGTGCACTGCCTCCCAGCATTTTACTGCTGTGTGCAGCTAAGAGCATGTTTGATGTACACATGAGCTCCAAGCCGTTTCTTTCTAGAAGTTTCTGCTGAGCCCTCACTGCATATGAGGGGGAGCCCGAGGCAGGAAGAGCAGGTACCCGACCAGAACCCCATCATCACCTTCACTCTGGGTGTCTACGCTCACCCAAAGCAGGTGCAGGGGGTACTCATCTGCTTTGCTTTACTGAGCCAGTTTGACAAACTGCCCTACTTGGAGGAGAGGCGCCCACATAAGACAGAACAAGCAGCTCTCTGTGCGCTCACACACGTTCACAGGCAGACAGACACACATGTTTTGTTAGCAGTTTATGCGCATGCAAACACATTTCTGTTTACTTTATCAAAGGGAAACAGAATCATCTACAGTAAGAAAAAATAACATTTCTGCAAATTTCAAAAAGCATAAAATACACAAAAGGCAAAATCTTACTGTAAGTCCATTCTCTGACCTTCCTGTGTGTTCATTCTAAACATGGGAATCCCTGGAAAGAGGATGCGTCCTGTTCCATCAGTGAAGTTTGGTTAAAATTCATTGTTATGGACTGGATTTCCTTTAGGTGGTAAGGGAACATTTACAGCTCCTGCTTTCCAAGCTGTCACCGATCCCCAAGGAGAGCTGGGTAGAAATGCGGGGACTCACCTCGATGCTGAAGTACCCTCTGTCAACGTAGTCCCCCAGGAAGAGGTAGCGAGTGTTGGCAGGAGATCCCCCCACTTCAAAGAGCTTCATCAAGTCAAAGAATTGTCCATGGATGTCCCCACAAACTGAAAGAAACAAGGAATATTTGCTCATTAGGTTATGACTCTGAGCTAGTTAATAAAATGACAAAATTTTAGAGCCAGAATTAATTCAATCTTGGCCAAAACGTCATTTTGCAAAACAGGAGTGTGAGACAAACAAGCTAAGCACTTTGCTCAGGATTCCCAAGGTGAGGAACCCAGGTCTGCTAACTCACAAATCAACTGGAAGACTGAGGATAATAATAAAGGCTGTTACTGCTACGAATCTAACAGTTTTTCAAGAGGCACTGTGTCGAGAAATTACGCACACATTGTAGTGCAATTCTGCGGTGGAGTAGGTTTTCATTTTGCAGATGAGAGATGAGGTAACAGCAAGGTCCAGGATTTGGCAGGACTTACACACAGCGGAGGTCAGACTGCACAAGCACTACACACCATGGCCTCCTGAAGACACAGGGACACTGATACGTATCACAAAGAGACATTTAACTGAACCTACATGTAACAAGTTACCACACACAGGCTTATCTTAGGTTCCACTAACAAAGAAAAACTCCAATTAAATTTAAATTGTAAAGAAAGGAGCATTTTGCAAGATGAATTCTAATACCAGAAGTCCAGATTTCAGGGGGAAAAAAAAGTATATAACACATGAGAATAGAAAAAAAAAATCACTGTGAAATGATGTTTCATGAATTTTTCACCTTCTCTTGTAAACTAAAATTCTTGGAAAAGTTAGTCTCCCTTTTTAAAAACCATTTACTCAGAGTACTTCTTTCGTTTGCTATGTTCATACACATTGAAAACAAATACTGTAATCTTCGTGATACAGATGAAAGTGTCACTGTTCAAACCGGCTGAAATTCAAACTTGTTTGATTGCAGGTTTCCCCTCACCTGCTCCACGTCAGTATCTAGAGCCCCCTCGTATGTCTTTATGTGCACTGCATGTGCATTTCATTTCTGTAGATTTGCTTCCCCTCAATGAGGCCCACAATAGGGCTGCGTCTGCAGCTCTCAGGGGTGCACAGGGTGAGCACCTCAGTGGCCTGAAGGCCGGGCCTGAGACCCTCAAACTGCACACTGTGACCACAAGCAAGTGGCAGGCTGCATCTTCAGATTCTTCAGACTTCATGCTTCATCTGAGGGAAGTGGACAGAAAGGAGCCCAAGAAGTCCACTCAGGAAACAATTGTAAAACAACAAATCATTTAACAAAGGCCTTGGGTGAAGGCCCATTTTTACCACCAGGGAACAGCTAACGTGGACACATTTCTACAGTTCTCTAAGCCTGCACCCGTACAGCAGCAGTGTAAGTGGGCAGCCGGAGAGAGAAGAAGGTTATGGACAGGCCCTAGACCACGGAAACCCTCTAAGGATATCTTCTCTTTTGTTGCACGATACTCGTACATCACGATGCACAGTTTTATAAAAACAGAAAGTAAAGCTCTTTTTTTCTATCCTGTCAGATAAGAGATCACTTCGGTGATTTACAAGATCACTGAAATTACTCAGTCTTGGCTTCGTGACACAAAACAGCAAAGGACAGGGGTGCAAACCTGGCCCAGAGAGCCCAATACCCCGAGTCACACTTGCTCGTGTGCCGGTCTTGTTATCACTGGGTGCCTCAGAGCAGCTGCCCTGCTCAAAACAATGCTTTCACAGAAACAACCACTTATGACAATGTCCAGCATGCGAAAATATTTTTAAAAATCAAAGCTCAACCAAACAAAACAGAAGCTCAAGTAAACGTGCCTGACAAACAAAACTATTTTATATGCACATTTGGAAATTTTAAGGATCAACTTCAAGACGTTTTAAAGCCAAGTTCCTATGTTCCACCAATTTGTCCATTTCCATGCATCAGGTCTTGATCGGCACCACCTGCTCCGGAGGGTCCTGACCTCCGCACATGTGGCAGCTTCCTTGGAAACTTATCGACTTAAGAAGTCGCAGCTTTGAGGTGCCCTTGGTTTAGAGCCTGATGAAGAAGAGTTTGCGGAGTTTGCTTCGGTGGGAGTCCAAAGCCTTGAGCTTATTGGAGATGGTGTTTGTTTTAAAGCCTTCAGATTCTGGGTCTCAGAACAGTGTGGGCAAGACTGAGATGGAACGTGGCACTGCCGCGAGTCTCACGCGTGCTTCCTTACCTCCTGCCACATCCGTAGCACCTGGGAGGGGGGGTTTGAAATGATAAATTCCCTCCCTGGATCAGAATCTCCAGAGGTACAGGTTTTTCTTGAGAGGTTCTTAGGTAGTCAGTGTGAGTAAACAGACCTACACGTTGCACACGTGGTCCCTGATCTGTGTGCTTCTGCTCACGGGGCCACGTTCAGTAGGCAAACAGGTGAGAAAAGAAGATGCAGCCCGCTTGCACTTCAGGTCAGTGTGAGCTGAAGGCTTCATGGTCCCATGGAAGGACCCTAAAGCAGTGACCCTGGATGGATTTCACCAGCAAGGGCTGCACCTACTAAGGACGACAGCAAAGCCAACTTCCTTTGGGCACTGGATGACAGCTTAGGCCTTGCACATTCCAACTGTGAGTTAAAGGATTTACCCTAATATTCTGAGCTGTTCGGACTCAATCTTCGGGAAGGAAATGGCCATACGTAAGGCCCAAGAGGAAGAGGTCCCTGAGCTCAAAAATCCGGAAGGTTGCTGGCCACCTCCTTTCTCTTGGGGATCCCAAACATGAGGGTTGAGAGAGAGAAGCGTAACATGGCAAATGCCCGCTGATGAGGCAAGCCGTTTGCTTGCTGCTGCCAGCCTCCAGTTCCCCAGGAGGCGAGGTTCTGTTGTCTTCTGTGTATCCCTGGGTCTTTACAGAACTGCGAGGCCAAGCAGGCTTGGGTAAGCTCTTTCCCAACACCCGCCTGACTCCCACCTTTACCCCATTCCCACAACTGCCTCCTTACTTCCAGTGGCACCGTGCCGCCTACCACCCTGTCAGGGGCAAGCACCAACTGACCTAGGCACAGGGAAGGATGGTTCACAAGGCAGCAAAACCATCACAAGAGGGACAAGTGCTGGCACTCCACTGCACAGCTGTGTGACACACTGAACAACAGTGCACAGTGTACGCAGGCCAGCAAGATGACTCTGGACAAGCTCATCACAAAGCAGTGATAAAGGTTAAGGGGATGGACGTGGCAATTTCCTTGATTTGATAGTAACACAATGTACACATGAATAGAAAAGTCCCAGTGCACCATGTACCTATGAACTATGGCTACAAGTCAGTTGAAATTGAAGATACAGTGAAATAGAGGAAAGACCACCATGCACAGAGACACAGGCCCATGATAAGAGAGTCGCTCAGTGCTCTAGGACCACATCCATGATCTGGCTGAGCAACCAACAAAGGTCTACTGTGTCCTCCACAGGGAGGAAGAAAACTGTGCATATTTATGCCAGGCTTTTAGAGCCACAACATTTAATAAATTAACACAGTAATGATACTGAAATGAAATACAAGATTTTCCCCCCTGGGCCATGGCCATTCATACCCATTAGCAACCTGAGAGGCTGCAATAGGTCCCTGTGAGAATCACACCTCCAGCTTCTGCAGCAGAAACAAAGGACCCTGGTACACAGAACAGGAGGCTTTACCCGGGGAGGAGAAGGCTTTCTTGAAAGTGGCTCTGGATCTGGGCGCTGATCTCTTGAGGCTGGGAGGCTGATCTCGGGGCTGATACCAATCTATTACCTTCAGGAGACACAGCCAGTTCACCCAAAGGGTCAGCCGAGTGCCACCTGAGTGACAATGACTCACATAACTGCCTCTTAAAACTGCTGCCCCCCATGACCCTTGGTCCACTTTAAATAAAACTTTATTGGAACAGATGTCATGGACATGGGCATCCAACCAGTTTGAACTCTGCTGAAGCCTTTGGAATTCTGAAGGAGGGAGGAAACAGAAAAATAACATAAAGAAAAGATTTTAAAAAATTTCTTACAGAAGGCAATGCCCTAGTATAAATGTTAGAAAGTTAGGCATTAAGTTTTAAAATCACAGGCCTGGCAGATTCGAGTATATATCATCAGAAATGGAAACAGACAGGAGTCTGTGTAAAGCCACCCCTAGGGGGTCTGGAGAGTCCCGGGCAGTGCAGTTGTCAGGAGCTGCTGAACCCTCCACTGATTGCAGGTTAAGTGAGCTGTGTTAAGGGGCTGCAGCAGCGAGCACGCTCTCTGATGTATGTACAGACGGGACAGGGGGCCGTCTAGGGCACCAAATGATGACCAGCACACTGAGAAGGACAAGGACCCTCCACAACAGAGTCCCAGGACGGGAGGGAGACAGTGGGAAAGACAACAGCCCTGAGACCAAGCGTCGACCTCCTGCTCCAAACCAGAGACGCAGTGGGCACTGGGGAGCAGGGCTGCACACTCTCGCCATGAACCACACTCAGGCAGGTGTCAGCTTTCCAGGTAGAACAGACACTTCTCAGAAGGAGGAGGACATGCGGCTAAGATGTACGCAGAGAAACGCTCCACATCGCTGGCCATTAGAGAAATGCAAATAAAACGAGATTCCACTGTTCCCAGAAAGAGTGGCCACCGCCAAGAAATCAAACAATGCTGGTGAGGATGCAGGGGAAAAGGAGCCCTTCTACACTGTTGGTAGGAGTGTCAACTAGCATAACCACTGGGAAATAAGTCTGGAGACTCCTCGAAAAACTCAAACTATACAAATTTCCATTTCACCTGACTATTCTCCTTCTAGGTACTTTCCCAAAAGAGTTATCATGTAACAGAGATCCATGCACACCCATGTGTATAGCAGTACAGTTCATCACAGCTAAATCTTGGACATGGTCTATGTGTCCATCAACAGGTGAACAGATAAAGAAAATGTGGCATTTACAAAACATGGAAGCTGGGTGTGGTGGCGCACGCCTGTAATCCCAGCACTCAGGAGGCTAAGGCAGGAGGATCACTGCATGTTCGAGACCAGCCTGGGCTACACAGTGAGTTCCAGGTCAGTCCCAACTACAGTGAGAACCTGTCTCAAAAGACCCCCTAAAAA